TTACAAACAAATTAGAAAAAATAAACAGACTCAGCATTAGTATTGTAACTGGAAATAACTCGGGAAAATTTAATCCAACTTCCCTGAGAATACTTGATTAATCTCAGACCCAAGACGAAAATCAAGATAAGACAAGTTTCCATCTGTATTGAGGGCAGAGGAACTTGGGGTTTCCAGTGCCCACAAAGGGTATCACATGACCCTTCTCTGGGGGTTCCCTTTCTCCAAGTTTTCTGCGTCACTCTTGGGTCTGGCTCCAAGTCCATGAGAAATCTGTTCACATCCTAGTCCTTCAGAAGCTGCCAGCGTTTTCAGCGGGGACTTGGGCTAGCGTCCCCACTCCCACCACAGCCCAGGAGGCCTATAACAAATAGAAGCCCCCGATTTGAGGTGTAGCTCAACCTTTGACCACTAGAGGTCTCCTGGAAAGCAATGACCCGTGTAACCCGGTTTATCCTCTTTCAAACCAATAGACTTGTTGCACAGAGACTTGGCGAGCCTGCTCTGCGGGAGGCCGCCTTATTAATATCACCACCCACCCCCGCGATCATGATGGCGCCAGGCTTGGAGGCTTGGAACCAGGCGGTGGCTGACCCTTAGACAGCGCTGATTTTAATCCACAAATTAATCTGCGCATTCTAGGGCGACCCCCTCCAACCCTACTTCTTGACCAATCTAAAGGGGAGAACGCCCCTAACTCGAGGTTTCCAGGTGGGCAGCGCGGAGACCTTCCGACTTCCAAACCGTGACAGACTAGCCAAGGGACCAGTGTTCAGAATCGCCTAGTATCAATCAGGTCCACCAACAGGCAGAATCTACGCCCCCGCTTTGCCCCACTCATCCCCTGCTGTCCCCCACTCCTTCTTTCCCTTTTGCGTCGGGATGGTCAAAGTGGCCTGGGCTCTAACCCGTGAGAGGACATCAGAGAATCATTCCCTGTCCCTGTTCTCATCTGTGTGGTATTTTCTAGAAAAATTAGCAGCGACTAGCCGGAAGAGGGAAGAAAAAAAGGGGGGAGGGGGCAATGAGGGGGAGCACGCAAGGAAACAGCCAGGTTGAATTCCCAGTCTTTATCAAGCAATTCGTTCACCAATGAAAGAAAGCTGCAGTGGCAGATTCGAGCCACATGCGGTAGTGTGTAGCAATTAGTAGATAAAATGCTGACTAAAGTGCTAAAACATGAAGTATTACTGTAGCCAAGGTCAAAAATGCTTCAGTTGTCTTTTGCAATTTGGGGGAGGGGAGGCCCAGGGGTTCGCAGAGAGATTTGCATTTTCGAAATGGTCGCCTTCTTTCCTCAAACTATACTTTTTTTTTTTATGATCCTGTTTATTATAGTCCAAGCTGCCTAATTATGTCACTGCTGGTTTTTGCAACTAACTTAATCCTCCTGATCCTTTATGAACCGATTCACAGACACTGAATAATGTGTTTCTGCTCCTCCACCCCCTTGGATGGTTTTCCTTTTTTTTTTTTTAACCTTCTAAATATATCAGATAACTTTAAACAGAGAGTTGGATTTTTGTCTAATAAAGTAGTAAGAATATAGATGTGTAGGTATGGGTCACTATGTTTCAGCACAAGAAAGAGCCCAGAAATAGCGGGTCATATAAACAGATACTGCTTTCCCCCTCCTCTTTTATACACAGTGAGTTCCAGCTACAAGCTTTTTTATAGATAAATAAAGCAGTTGCTTTCATGATAACTGTCTTGAATGGATTGTCTTCTTACAACATTCAATCTGTTTATGAGTATTTACTTTACATTAGCCCAGGGACCCTGCACTGCAGGAGTTTGCCTCTATTCCCCTGGGTGTCGGTGTCTCAAGTCTTACATCTGCTCTGTGATTGATGGAGCCTTGAATCCACGTTATTACTCTCTCACAAGCAGAAATCAAACAGGCTATTAACTACATTACTTCAAAGAACTGTTTCAATACAATCTCCTTATCTTAATTGAAACTTTCTTTGTATGGATATTTGCTACACAGATAATTTACAGGTGCCTATCAAGCATCACATTAAAGAAGAGGTAAAATAGAGGAGGGGGGCTTGAGGGGGGAACCACTATTGTGATCTGTAAATTTAAAAGCCATTCACAGTATTGGATTGAGGTTTGATTTATTCGATTTATTATGTTCGTGGGACTGGTGCTCACAGTATTGTCAAAAAAGGGGGAAGATACCCTTGTGATTCAATTTTGAAATTTAGCATTCATCTGATTACTAAAATGCAGATATTCAAAAATATTCAGACTGACTGAGGCCCCTGCAATTGTTAACATCTCAAAAAACCTTATCTGAAAGATTAGGCAGCATACAGCCTGGTGCAGAGTCTACCTTGAAGAGACAGAAAAAGGTTTCTAATTAGAGGAAGGTGGTTACAGACACTTAAAGACTTACAGCACCAAAGACAGTAGAAGTTGCTTAAATGCTGTTAAGAGCTGTGTATTTTTTAAGAGAGAGATTTAATATCTAATCGAGGGATCCCCTCAGGCATTTTGTTGAGGTTTCCTGTAAAAATGCTACTGCATTGGTCATACAGGAAACTGACTCAGAGTCCATCTCAAATAAGATCTTGTCAAAATACTGCAACTCAAGTTTTTAAATATAAGATTTCTTGAACTGAATGTATATATTTACGCTAACAGGACAGAGATGAACAGAAGCCTGAGGCGTATATTATGTATTTTTGGAAAAAAAATGTTAAGTGCCCTTCAGTCAAGTCCATTCATATGTTAAAAATGAATAAAATGGGTTATTCTAATCAAACATCTTCAGTATACATCATAAAGTTAAAAAGAGAGAGAGAGGAGGAGGAGAGGGCTGTAATTTCTCTTTGTAACCCATGTTTATAAAATAGGAAGATCAGATGAAATTTCAAAGAAGATAATTAAAGAGTGATGTACAAGTCATAATTTGGCTAATGCAAAAGATGGGAGACTGTAAATTGTTACATTGTCCTCCTCCAAGGCGCAGAGTTGTGATATTACTTTAAATTATTAAAATAGTTTTCGACTGCTTTCAGAATACGGGTCTTTGGCATGGACTTTTATTACTTATTGTAATTGGAGGATCTGCCATTTTCTTTGGTTTATCTCTGTGTATATAGAAACGAGATAGATCTTGCCTTTTATTACTTCCCCATGTTCTGAATCAAAAATGTGGTTTAGATAATGTTAAGTGCCCTAATTCTTACTGCAGCGGACGCAGACATTATGGAAAAGCATAAAAACACACACAGGGTCTTTCCACCTCAAGTCACTGAATATGAGGCATTTGTGCTCTGCCGAGTGTATTAACTTCAGCCATGTGAATATAATTTTCATTAAAGTAATCCTGTTTCAACTAGATGCTGTGACTAGAGGTGAAACGTTGCGAAAGCGTTAAAAATAGCTTACTAGTAATTTCAACATCCTGTAATTTTATCACAGATCAAGTTTCAACTGTCATACTATACAGACCTTATTCCCCATATAGTACATGTTTACTTTTTTAGCATGCCAGACCCACTTTGGAAAGATTGGTGCCAATATAATAAAATCGCACGGGGGGGCGGGGGAGTGCTGGAAGAGTGGGAGGAGAGCGGGGAAGGGGTGGGGGAACGCGGGGGAAGCGAGTACACCATTTTACATCAACACTGCGAAAATGCAATCTAGCCTGGCGGAGGACCGGCAGCTGGGTCGGAGCGAGCGAGGGCTTTGCAGTCTGCCTGTTCCTTGTTCTGTCGCTCTTAAGTTTCTCTGTGTTTGCATAATAGCCGTGCATGCAAACCTCGCAATGCTCCAGGGCTCCAGAACAATAAATACACACATTTAAAGCCTTTATTGTCTTACGGTTCATGCCCCCGGTTTTCAACAGCTTAATTTCTGGTTGTATTTAACTAGTTTGCAAATGGATTTTTTCAGTTTCAAACTGTTATTGAGGAAGCTCCCCTCCCCTTTTTTTTTTGGGCGGGGGAGGGGTGGGGGTGGGGTAGTAGTCGGTATATTATTCCTGTAGCGCTGGGTTATATAAACACATTATCATTTGAGAGCGCCCTTGGCGTCCATCAGCAGTGTAAACACGTACTAGTGTATATACTTCAAAATTAAAGAATGCACACGCAGAACCCGGAGCCTGAATTCATATTCCGAGCAGACTCGCTGCTCGCATTTATTGATTTATCATGCATCGTTTATTGTTCCAGTCCCTAAATGCAGTCGCTGTCCGTTCAATATTATTTGCAAAATCCTGAGATGTGTGTGCTTTGCTCAGTTGTCTTTCTGTTCTTTTTTTTTTTTTGCTGAGTATTTTTTTGCGAAGCGAACAAATGCATTAATATTTATATGTTTATATAATCGATAACCCACTTTTCCTTTCCATGTAAATAGGCATCAAAAGATAATTTAACAGATTAGTTCTCGAAAACATGGCAGTGAGGAAGCGTAATTTAACTATCAAACAAATCTACATGTCTAATAACAGCAAATCTGCTAAGGAGCATTAGAGAGAGGAGCAGCGCCCCGGAATCTCTGCAGGAAATGTTCTTTATATTAGACATATACAAGCAGGTCCTGTCAGATACACAGAGGAGCTCTCTACCCCTGGTCTCCTCCAAAAATCTCATCACAGCATTCTCTTAGACAGGGGCAGTTGGAAAGAGAAACATCTCATATTTGCACACTTTCAGGGTGGATTTTATTTTTTTACAATCTTCTTATCTCTTTTTTGCCTTGATCCATTCGCTTCCCGCCGAGATTGCACGTAGCCTTTCTCCCGATTATGAATTTGATCAACCCATATTTGGAAGGAAACCCACCTAGTTTTGACAGTACTTGAAAATTGAGTGGTCAGAGAAATATTAGGACATATTTTTAATCATTTTGGTGCCGAAGGGGAAGCAAGAGCTCAGTTTTATATTGAGACATTACGGCAGCTGAAGGCAGAGAATGTTTTTCCCTGCCAGGACCTGATGCAATCCATTCAAGCCAACAAGTTTGGAGAGAATGTTGAGTTCAATCAATTCAGAACGTCGAGATGGAGCCCAACTCACTCCAGGTATTTCGCTCTCCTCCGCTCCTCCGATCCCGGCACCCACAGGCACCCCCCAGCCCTCCAGCTCATCCACACCTCAGCACCCACCCACACCTCCCACAAACTTTTCACCAAACTTTTACCCTCTGCATCCCCCCAAATAATTTTTATTGTTTAAAAATATCCCCGCACTGATCATACATACATAAATGTAATTTTACCGCCTCCGATGGGGAGGTAGGGAGGGGTGGCTGTGGGGAGGGGGACCTGGAGTTTTTTTTTTTTTTTTTAAGGGAGGCAGAAAATTTGTGGGCTCTATGATTTTTCCACCCAGTGTTATATCTGTGGGTTCGTCTGTATTAAGAGTGTGGATGTCTGTGTGTAAATCTGTCTGGGAATAGATGTTTGTTCTGATGGCTACATTATTTATTTGGTGCCTTTTTTTTTTTCCCCTGCAGTGGGTCGGCTCACCGTGTGGCTTGCACGGACCTTACATTTTCTACAAGGCTTTTCAATTCCACCTTGAAGGCAAACCAAGAATTTTGTCCCTTGGCGACTTTTTCTTTGTAAGATGTACGCCAAAGGATCCGATTTGCATAGCGGAGCTCCAGCTGTTGTGGGAAGAAAGGACCAGCCGGCAACTTTTATCCAGCTCTAAACTTTATTTTCTCCCCGAAGACACTCCCCAGGGCAGAAATAGCGACCATGGCGAGGTGGTAAACCTATCTCTCCCTCTCTTCTTTCTTTATTATTTTTCCCCCTAGTAATGCTTATTACAGGGCAAGCTTGAAAATACTGTATTCACTTCTGCAGGCGAGCAGGATCGACTTCTTTTTTAAAGGGGTAGCGCCACTAGCTGGGGCTGGAGTATTTTGCCATTGTCAGAGTTTGGCTGTCAGCTTTACAAAGAGGATCCAACTGCTGATTTTAGTCAAGATCAAATAACTTGTTCGAGAAGGGTTTTGTTCAGGGGTGTGTGCGCGCGCGTGCGTGTGGTGTGTGTGTGTGTGTGTGTGTGTGATTGCTAGCTCTTATCCTGTTACCGCCGCTTAAACATCACATTATTTTTTATATTTTTTTGCTTTTTGAAAATTTACCTTCGTGTCTGGCTCGGTCGGGGCTGGGTGGATTTCTTTCGATGGGTTTCGATATTGTTCACGTTTTTTTTTTTTTAAGTAAGTATTTGATATGTTTAAGAGGGCGGAAATTACGAAATGGAGGCAGAATGAGATCAAAAGCTATTGAGTTGGCAAAGACGTGTTGAATAAAGTGATAAATGACAGGTACTGGAATAATACATTCAAATAACTTGCAGATCTGCCCGGGCGGATTTCAAAGCGGTCGTGTAACCGGCACAAACACGTTAAGCATTAACAACTATCTCTCGCCCACTCCCCCTCCCTCCCTCCCTCCCCCCCTCCCCCAGCCATTTGATGTTCTAGTTTTCAATTACTCCACGCAAAGTGGACGTCTTCCAGCGCGATCTTCGGGGGTGTGTGGGACAGGGCGGGGGGCGGGCGGGAGGGCAGAGGGGTGTGTGCTCCCCCACTGGCCTGCGAGTCCGGGCCCTTGGTGCCCAGACGGCACTCTCGCGGAGGGCGGGGAGGGACCGAGCCTCCCGGCACGTTTCTGGGCGGCCTCGGGGGCGCTCGCCGCGCTCCCGGGAGGACGCCGGAGGTGAGCCCGCTGTCACCGGGCGCCGGGGCGGCCGCCTCCCTTAGGCTATGACATTTCATGTGTGACCGCAGTTCTGTGGGCTCCCCTTGTCAGCTGGCGGACCTCAGCGCCGTGGTACCTATCGGGGGAACTATTTTGGGGAGTCTGTGCCCAGGCGCAGCGGGGAGGGAGGGCGCACCTCCGCCTGGCAAGGCTTTGTGTTGCCAAAGCGAGAGCAGGGTAAATCAAACTGAGACTTTTGAGGGCAGCTCGCTCGGTGCCAGGCTCGCGAGCTTTCGAGGTAGGTCTAAGGATCTTTTTGTTAAATGAATGGTTCCCCCGTTTTAACTCATCCCGGGGCTGGGAGCTGCCAGTCCTTGCAGAAATCCTTGATCTGCTGATAGAGTTGATTGTACTTTTGGCCTCGCCGGCTCACTCTCACCCCCTGCCCCCCACGCCCCCAGGATCGAATTACCCATCAGTGGTCTATGCGGGTTAATTACTGGAGTTCTTCAAAACGTTAGCCCTGGAATCTGCCGTTTCGGAAATAAGCCCCTCCCACCTCCCCGCACACACCCCTCCCCCGCCCTCTCCCGGCAGCTTTGGGTTTTAAACGTTCATATTTCCCTTAGTCCGCCTGAAATTTTATAAAGGTGTTGTTTGGAAATACTGTGAAAAAAAAAAATCCTGCAGCCTACCAACAGGTTGAGCTCTTTTCCCCTCCTAAGGTCTCTCTCGGCCCCCTCCCCCGACCCAACTTTCCTGCGCAGCTGTCTTCCTTCCCCTCCCCCTCCTGATTTCTTATTATTTGCTTTTCAAATTTATTACTTCAACATGGCCTGTGATCTGGAAAAGGGAAGGATTAAATATCCAGAAAAGAACTGGTGCCTAATAGACTTCTGACTAAACCCAGTAGGAAATTATTCAGTATTTTATGGGATATTTTGTGGTCACTTTTTTTTTAAATTAAAATTGAAATATTTTTTAAAGACCCCAAATTGACCCTACTGGGTCCAGTTGGTGTAAGTAAATAGCTAATTCTTATTTAAGAATAAAAGCTACATCCACCAAAGATTACATCTGTTAGAATTGTTGACTGAATAGATACATTGTTAAATACACGATTTCCTTTTAATTGTTCATTATGGGGAATTGGAAGTGAACCATTGTAATGATCTACGCATTTCGTCACTGCTATATGAGCCATACCTGCGAAAATTAATCTTGCCACTTAAAAGTAAACTCTAGGGGGTTTGCGGAGGTAGATGGCTCTATTTATAATCCTCAGCTGCATATACATCGTCTCATATTATGCATGATTTGTTTTTTAATGCTAACACGGATGGTAATTAGCTGTATGATTATACTTGTATATTTCATTAGGACTTTGGCTGATGTCATTGTGAATTATTCAGCCATATTAAAACAATTTTCAATTGAGATAATGACACGCCTCAAAATTATGCAAATGCAGACTGCATTGTGCAAAATAATTATGACAAATGTAAAGCAGGTAGAAAGTTTCCCAATGCAGATCGGCTTTCCATCCTAGTGATGTCATTTCCCCCCTGGCCTAAGTTAGTCATTCATTAGCAGAGTAGCAGCAGCAGGCTCCTGGAGGAGAGGCTACAGAAACCAGCATTTACTGCTGGCACCTAGAGGGGGCAACAGGGCCCTCTCATTAAGAAATTTGCTTTGTTTTCACTTACTCCATTAACTTGTTTATATACACTGAAATGGTTTTTATTATTGATTTTAAATAGTTTTGAATGATGCATTTGCCATTTGCAATATGTAACTGAAAGAGAAAGGTTTCTTGGTGATATGCACTGTTTCTTGGAGAAAATGTTCAGCACATTTAATCAGCCAATGCAGTTTATTTTAAGTAACCAAATGGAGGTTAATAATTTCGATTGAGTTGACATCAGCATCCATCTCAAAAGGACAGACAGGACTCAGTATGCTTTTTTTGGTTTAAAAGAATCAGTGTGCCTTTTTATGATGTCTTGAAATGTAAAAGACGTCATTTCTAAAAGCAGGAAAATGAGCATTGTGCAAGTTTAGAAATAGCGTCCCTGTGTGGTTTGCTGTGATTTGCAGAGGACTTTTTTTTGGAGCGTTTTCTCATTGAACCTCGTATTCATTGTATACCCATTTTATAGATAGGGACATGGAAAGGTTTTGTTGTTTGCCAAAGGTTGCCTTACTAGCACCCGGTCCTCCTTAATCTTTAAGGTTGTCCCATCTTCCACCAGTGAAACCAGAGATTGGCTGCACATTAGATTCTAGAAACATATACTGACATGGGCAGTCCCTTGTACATTTTAAAACTATGATTAGTCACTGCTTTGCCACTGTCTCCAGATACTTGGGCAGCAAAAACATTCTTATTCTATAAAGCCCAGCTAATTGTAGCCAGTGGTATACAGCAGTTATAGCTTAAGTTATTAATCATCATTAACAACTTACTATTAACTTTAATAATGATGGTGATGATTTGCATGCTTATATATACCACTGCCATCGTACATTTTCAGTGCTGGCAAGTGGTATTGGAAGTTTCCAACATGAGGTGCATTTCGAATCTACAACTTACTATTCATTTGACCTTAAACGATCATAAATACTTTGAGCCCCAGTTTTCTCAGCTGCACAATGGGAACAATAGTAAGAGGAAACTTGTGAAGATCAAGAAGTATTATGAGGGTAAAAGCGCTGTGTATATTGTAAAGTACTTAAAGAGAAAGGGGTTATGATTATAGTGGTCTTTGTTCTGGACAGTCTTACTTTTATACAAAATAACAATGCATAATAACTTCTGGGTCTACATGGAGGTCCTTGGACCTAATCATGATACTGTCTTAAATTACCATGAAAGTGCATAGCAGGGCCATGTGCAAGGAGTTAAGTGTCTTTGGTAATTACCCACAATTGCCACATTCAGTCAGTAGCTCTTGAGAGGAGAAAAATGGCAAAGTAGGCGGGTAATTGGTTCTGTTACTGGGTAACTTCTGATTACATTCATTTTCAAATTGCCAAGTGCTTAATCTATTGGCAATATGCTCTCTTAAAATAGGTGGATGTGCAAGCTTGAATTTCAGCCTGACCAGTGAAGGCTTGGGTTTTAAAGGAGAGTTTGCTGTTTACCTGGAAGTGTGGAAGTGGGTGTCTAGGAGAATGCTGCCAGGGAGTCAAGATCAAGCGTCCCCTGAGTGTTTTATTAGATTTTAGCATGCATTCAATATTTCTAACAGTATTTAGCTATTGCCATCCAGTATAAGCCATCCAGTATACCATACCAACCAGTATGAACCCTGAATAGCCACTAGTTAAAAATGGGCAAAAATGCATATTCTGGGGTCCCCTATTGAAATTAACGCAATTAGAATCTCTGGAATTTGGTCAAGGGTTCTAAATTTTAAATATTTTAGACAGTCCCACTCTAGCTCTGTGATCTTCGGCAAGTTCTGAGGCATTCTTTTTGGTGCCTCAGTTTTGTCATCTATAAAGTGGAACTACAGTATTTACTTCCAAGGATCTTTTTAAGGACTAAACAAGTTAATATGTGAAAAGTACGTACAACAAAAGTTGACATATAGTAGATACTTTCATAATGACTGTTATTAATGTTAGTATTGTTCTACTGAAGTTTGAGAACACTACTCAGACTTTCTTGCCTCTGTATGTTTGGTTTAGCTGTGTTGCCAAAATGGAAAGTTTCTTAAGAATTTTCATTTTCCTACTAAAGTATGTTGTCAACTGGATCAGCAGGATTTTTCCTTTAAAGATTGCCTAATTTGATCATATCTGGGATTAGGCAGACATATTCTGGAATCTAGTTTGGCCTTTCCCTTCTCTTTGCACAGTCCCTCAGTCTCGGTCTATCCATAAGCTGATTTTTTTGAGACTTTTCTGAGACCCTTTAACTGACCTCACTGTTTTTAAACTATAATAACTTTTCTGAGCCTCAGTTTCTTCATCTACACAATGGATTTAATGATCTCTGCTGACAAATTTGAGATAATAATGAAAAGATCCTGGTACCTACCATAGTACC